AGTTCATTTTTTAATTTTAAGCGACAGTTTGACAATTAAACAATATGCCAGGCCCCCAAAACGCTCCACATAACTAAAAAATAACCTTGTATTTAAATTTTAAATCTGGGTCTGGTCTCATCTGTTGAGTTAACTTACTCCCCAAATGAAGCCTTATTGTATAAAAAAAGATGGATAAATTTGGAGTTTTTTTTTGCGTAGGTAGGGGTGAAAATGAGACAGTGCCCCCCCAAGTTCAGGGCGTCTTAGTTAACATTTCACCTGCCGTTTTTCTTACGAAAATTTAAAGATATGGGGAGAATGTATATGCGAGTTTATTCTTTTTATGTCAATCAGGTTTTTACTTCAAAAAAAAAAATTGCTTTTTAAAAAGGTTTGTTTCATTTCACGTCAGTGGAGTTTTAGCTTGTTTTTTTTTAGACACGGTACACATGAGTACATTTTACATACATAGTTAAACACCAAGGAAAACCTCCAAAAAGTTAGATAAGGTGATTTTTCCCAAATTGGGGTCCTAAAAAGGATGATGCTAATACATTAGGTTTTCCCGGGGGGTCACCCATAAAGTACAACCCAACCCAACTTGGGTTAAACCTCGCTGATCGGATGGAACTGTGCATTCACGTGTTTAATTTTATTAGAAAAATTTAGCCCCCTCTTGAGGGAGAGGCTTTTGATCCAGAATTGGGGCCTGCCACCCCCTTCCTAACCTGAATGTCTCCCCCAAAGGTTTTGTTCTGTATTATTTACTGTATTTTTTTATTTCCCAGGAACTATACCCCGGCCCCTCTAAAACAAGTCACTCGTTTTACCTGCTACTAAAAAATGACAGGATGGATAAATGGGGAGAACCTTCAAAATAGGGGGCCCAAACCCAGAGACACTCTTTAGGTTGCTTTTCATCTAGGCTGGAAAATTTTCTGCACACTAACACACCTTTCAAGGGAGGTGAAATGTGCCTAGAAAAGTACAGGAACCCTTTACGGGACCAAACGGAGATAAACACCTCAAATACTGGGAGCCCCTTGGGTTTCCCGAACCTGTATCCCTTGAACGCAGGAGGGGGAGGTACAATTTTATACACCTGAAAAACCAGAGGACATCCGAACTTGCACACGAAAAAACACCACAACGAAACAAAAAACTTGGGAAAAGCAACATCCCCCAATGAAAAGCAGGGGGAAACAGCACATTAAGAAACCCTACAATAAGTGTCAGGGGGCCCAAATGTTCAACTGCCTCCCACATACATAGGGGGATTACCAAAAGACCCCTCAGTCTTTAAGCGGCACGGACAACACCTAAAATCGGGACCTGCCCCCGGGGTGTGGCTCGTACATTGGTTTGCTGCACCAGCAGTAACAGCCTGGTTTTAAACAGGGTCTGAACCCCCAGGGGGCCGGGCACAGACCGGGCCGCGGGGCGTGACCCCCGGAACCCTCTCCAGGGAACTCCGGATAGGTAAATTTTTCCATATTATTTTGTAAAGCAAGTGTAATGATCCAAAGATTTGTAATTGAAACCCGAATAAACTTGCTTTCTTTTCCATTTAGTTATGTTGAGTGTTTCAAGGTATTCTAGATGGGGTTTTGCCAGGGGAATTACACTCTATCATGGATTAAACAATGAAGCATTAAACTTCAAGTATTCTAATAGTGCTTCCAAGGGCGGCCTGGTACAAAAAATCTTGGGTTTACACACTGAGGGGCTGGTTGATTAACGGGATTTTTGGGAAAAATTGGGGGTGTTTCCTTACAACCCGTTGTCCAGTTTTACCAAACAGTAAAATGGGGGAATTGGGTGTTAGTCGACCTGGTAGGTCACATCCGGACAAAATTGACCAATTTGCCTGAAAACGCCTGAATAGCAAACAACTTTCATTGTTATTCATTGAGTCACTAGGCCGTAAAACCTTGTACATGTATTGTAGAAATGAAGATATTTTTTTTTATTTAAGTGTTTGGCAAAATAGATAACTGATCCTCAGTGGATTTTATTGTTAATTTTATTTTTTTAAAAGACAGGCGGGTGCACTAATCCGGCATCATCGGGGGCCCTTTGGGGGTTTGGGGTTTGGATTTTGCTTGATTTAAAAGTGGTTAGGTTAAACCCCTTAACCAGTGGCGATATTTTTTGCTCGGCGATTTCACCCAATTTACGCCCTAATTTTTTGCCCTTCCAGTTTCTCCAGCACCAAAAAGATAGCTATTTCCAATATTCCTTCTTTTTGTCAATTTATACAAAAAACACCCATTCACCTATTTCAAGCCCAGTAAAGCGGGGGGGGCAGAAAATTGGAATTTTTGGGGCCCAATTTCACACATTTTAAAAGATCTAAAATTTAAAAAAGGGTCCAGAAAAACAGTGCAACATCCTAAAAAAAATAAATATTTTTGTCTTTATTACAGCTCCAGGCGCCTTTTTTACATAATGCTTCTTCCCGTTTTTAATTTTTATTCATGCAAAAAACAAAGATTTACGTATGCAGATACTTCATTATTGTAATAATTTATAAATAAAGTTAATCCTTCGTGACTCGTATTAGACGTCCATTGGACACGTATTATGGTTACGTCTTTTTTTACTTTGGGGAAAATCAGCAAAAATTGAGCATTTCTGCTCTATGAGCCAAAATTTTTTGTACTTTCTGGTTTAAAAAAAAACAAAATTATATCTATTTCTATAATATATCTTCCATAAAAGACGAGAATACAACCATACAAACCCATGAAAATACACCACAAAGTCGGGTTTACACCCTAAACGCGGTTGCATTTTTTTTTTCATTATGCCTGTGCTGCAGGGTTTTTTTTAAAAGGCACACTTACCAAAAGACCTTTCCTCATATTCAGGGCCCCAAATTTACTGGGCATAGCTTACTGAATGAGCTGGGGCATGGCGACCGACAGGGGCTTCAAAGCCACCTTATCTTTTTTGGGCAATTATGGGGCATGTTTTTACACAATGAAACAATCTTTTATTCATTTAACCAAGCTAGGGCTAAAAGTGAGCGGGGTTTCAACAAAAATGGGGGGAAAAACGGAATGGCTTTTGCACAATACTGCACAAACAGTAAACGGTAGGTTTTGGGGTAGCGACCCTGGAATTTGAAGTTTTTGCTAGCCAAAATTAGTGCTGGATTACTGATGGAACCGATTACTGATTCCGGGTTAATGATTTGGTGACCGTTCTATTTAACTGGTTTTTTAGTTTTAGCCTTATTTTTTTGTGCAAGTTAAAAAGGTAATGAACTAATGAAACCCACCTAATTCAACCTAAAATAACATATTGTGATTTAACCTTATTCAACCATTGGTAGATATGCATCTTTATTTACATTTAGCTAGGTGTGTGATGTAATACTAAATGCTGAATGACTCATATGTGCTGTGCAACCAAAATAAATGTACTATTTTTGTTAATATCTCCCGAATACATTTCACTAAAAACTTTCATACTTATTCATGAAAACATAAGTTGTAAAAGACAACTGTCTTGTAAAATTTATACTAATGGCCAAGTTCTATTGAGTAATAGTTGGAACTATAGCCAAAGTTGCTTACTCTGTGTTCAGGTTTTTTCTTTATTCTTTAAGAGATAAGGAATTCCAAAATGGAAAATTTAAGAAGTTAGAAAAGTTTCAATTTCTATTATTGGGACCCGTAATTGGGATCAAATTGCATTATAAATTTACACAATGTGTTTTTAAACCTCTAGCAGGCATCATGGGAGAACGTAAAATTTACACGGCCTTGGGGAACCCAAATTTTAAAACAATTGAAATTGGATTAGGTTTACAGGTAGTACAGGTTTTAATTTATAGATGGGGTTGTAAGAGAAGTAAATGCGAGGGTCTTGGCAAGAGGCGTGGATTTAAAAAAGATAAAGAATCACACACGGGGTGGGAGTTGTCACAGCTGCTCTTTGCTGATGACACTGTGCTCTGGGAGATTCTGAAGAGAAGCTACAGAGATTGGTGATGAATTTGGTAGGGTGTGCAAAAGAAGAAAATTAAAGGTGAATACAGGAAAGAGTAAGGTTATGAGGATAACAAAAAGATTAGGTGATGAAAGATTGAATATCAGATTGGAGGGAGAGAGTATGGAGGAGGTGAATGTATTCAGATATTTGGGAGTGGACGTGTCAGCGGATGGGTCTATGAAAGATGAGGTGAATCATAGAATTGATGGGGGAAAAAGAGTGAGTGGTGCACTTAGGAGTCTGTGGAGACAGAGAACTTTGTCCTTGGAGGCAAAGAGGGGAATGTATGAGAGTATAGTTTTACCAACGCTCTATATGGGTGTGAAGCAGGGGTGATGAATGTTGCAGCGAGGAGAAGGCTGGAGGCAGTGGAGATGTCATGTCTGAGGGCAATGTGTGGTGTGAATATAATGCAGAGAATTCGTAGTTTGGAAGTTAGGAGGAGGTGCGGGAATTACCAAAACTGTTGTCCAGAGGGCTGAGGAAGGGTTGTTGAGGTGGTTCGGACATGTAGAGAGAATGGAGCGAAACAGAATAACTTCAAGAGTGTATCAGTCTGTAGTGGAAGGAAGGCGGGTAGGGGTCGGCCTAGGAAGGGTTGGAGGAAGGGGTAAAGGAGGTTTTGTGTGCGAGGGGGCTTGGACTTCCAGCAGGCATGCGTGAGCGTGTTTGATAGGAGTGAATGGAGACAAAGGGTTTTTTAATACTTGACGTGCTGTTGGAGTGTGAGCAAAGTAACATTTATGAAGGGATTCAGGGAAACCGGCAGGCCGGACTTGAGTCCTGGAGATGGGAAGTACAGTGCCTGCACTCTGAAGGAGGGGTGTTAATGTTGCAGTTTAAAAACTGTAGTGTAAAGCACCCTTCTGGCAAGACAGTGATGGAGTGAATGATGGTGAAAGTTTTTCTTTTTCGGGCCACCCTGCCTTGGTGGGAATCGGCCAGTGTGATAATAATAATAAAAAGGTATGTACAGTACATTGTGGTAAAATTAGCAGTCTCAGCAACCAGTACTGGGGATGGCAGTGTTGGCTGATGTTGCTGGTAGTGCTAGAGTGGATGTTGGTGATATACTGGTAGAACTAGCAATGGGTATTGGAAAAAGCAGAAGTTATTAGCAGTGGCAGTTAAGGGTGACTACTGGCACTGCTGGTAGTGTACATTAGCAGTAATAACTGAAGGAGACAACAACTCTGGTGAAAAGTACTGGCAATGCCCTTGCTTTAAGAATACTGTTAGAATAGTAAGCTGCATGATCATAATTCAAACATTGCAACACTATTGTACATAGAAAAACCTACTTGATTGTTTTGTACTGTATTTAAATCTTTGCAGCACTGTGTTGTACGTCGAGTCACAAGAACTTTGCAGTCATTAGCTGCTGTTCATTTGGAAGAGGAAGTAACGAACCCTTTAGTGCGGCAGTGCCTTGCAACATACTCACAAGACCTTACTACCATCACACATAAATACTTACCTTATTCTGGGTCTTATCTCCATTTACCAAGGTATTATGAATTTATATTCTTTTATCTTGCTTACTTAGAAGATGCATCATGTGCTCAAACAAAATATCCAAGACATGCCTCATTTAACACCTATAGTTGGTTCAACAAATCACTTGTGACTTGATACTGGCTGAGGATGGAGTGAAACATCTAAAGTTTCCTCTTCAACCTGCAGGTTATTTGTAAATTTTTTCTACCCTAGCATTGTGACTTTTAATTTTCATGAGCAGCTATAACTGTAGTGTAAGTTATAAGGCTGAAATTGCAAAATAAGCAAGCAAGCTTTAAAACAGTTTAATAGTGATTGTCAGCCTAAATATGTGAGATTAAAAATTTCCTCTGTAGATCATCATTACTTGGTTGTCCCCCTCAACAGACATACATTAATGTTAGTGAGGGGGTTCTTGTTTCAAGGAATTGAACCTATGCTCCAATTCCTTGAATTGAGCATTAATGCCTTCCATTCCTCAGGTGCTGTATGACCTCTATGGATTTAGCGCTTCCTCCATGAATATAATAATAATAGTAATTAACATAATAATAATCACTACTATGTGCAATTTTGATGTAATGAAAGGAAAGCAAATAAAGAGGCAATTTTGTATTGTATAAAAAATTGTAATTGACTTCCTGGCTTCAGATTACCCCGTGTCGATGATCTGAAGGAACAAGTTTATGAAGTGGACACTGACATTGAACAAGGGGATCTTGTAAGTATTGTCTTCTCTTCCTTCTCCTTTTATCCTTATTCTTCCTCTTATTCCTCCTATTCCTTCTGTTCATCCTATTCCTCCTTTTCCTTCTCCTTCTTTCTCTCCTTGTCCTTACCCTCCTCCTCCTTGTCCTCATCTTCCTCCTTGTCCTCGTCATCCGCACCATTCCCCTCTTCATCCTCCCCTCTTCCTCCTCTTCTCCTGAATCCTCCTCTTCTCCTGCCTTCCTCTTCTGTTTCCTCCTCCTCCTCTTCCTTTCTTGCCTCCTCCTCCTCCTCCTCCTTTCCTGCTTCTTTTCTCCCTCTCTTCCTTTCCTGCTTCCTTCTCCTCTCTTCCTTTCCTGCTTCCTTCTCCTCTCTTCCTTTCCTGCCTCCTCCCTCCCCCTCCCTCCCTCCCTCCCTCCCTCCCTCCCTCCCTCCCTCCCTCCCTCCCTCCCTCCCCTCCCTCCCTCCCTCCCTCCCTCCTCTCTTCTCTCTCCCTCCCTCTCTCCCTCCCTCCTCTCTCCCTCCCTCCCTCCCTCCTCCCTCCCTCCCTCCCTCCCTCCTCCCTCCCTCCCTCTCCCTCCCTCCCTCCCCCCTCCCTCCTCTTCTGTTTCCTCCTCCTCCTCTTCCTTTCTTGCCTCCTCCTCCTCCTCCTTTCCTGCTTCTTTCTCCTCTCTTCCTTTCCTGCTTCCTTCTCCTCTCTTCCTTTCCTGCCTCCTCCCTCCCTCCCCCCTCCCTCCCCTCCCTCCCTCCCTCCCTCCCTCCCCCCTCCCCTCCCTCCCCCCTCCCTCCCTCCCCTCCCTCCTCCCTCCCTCCCTCCCTCCCTCCCTCCCCCCTCCCTCCCTCCCTCCCCTCCCCCCCCTCCATCCCTCCCTCCCCCCCCTCCCTCCCTCCCTCCCTCCCTCCCTCCCTCCCTCCCTCCCTCCCTCCCTCCCTCCCTCCCTCCCCCCCCTCCCTCCCTCCCTCCCCTCCCCTCCCCTCCCTCCCTCCCTCCCTCCTCTCTCTCTCTCTCTTCTCTCTCTCTCTCTCTCTCTCTCTCTCTCTCTCTCTCTCTCTCCTCCCTCCCTCCCTCCCTCCCTCCCTCCCTCCCTCCCTCCCTCCCTCCTCTTCCTCTTCTTCCTCTGCTTCCTTCTTCTTCCTCTTTGATGCTGTTTTCATATCATGGGAAATTAGTACCATTGTTCTTTAGCAGAATATTCACTGCAATATTTTAATGTGTTGACTTGTCAACAGAATAGTATTAATATGCATGACTATAATAGTTGATCCAAAATTATTATGTTATTCTGCCTCGTCTACAGAATATTTTATTTAAAGGTATAACATTTTATATAAAAGGTAATTTTTTTAATAACATTATTTTTTTTTTTTTTTTTCAACAAGTCGACTCGTTTAGTTACCCACCGAGCAGGGTACCCAAAAAAGAAAGATAAATCCCCAAAAAGAAAATACTTCATCATCATTCTAACAATTTCACCACACTCGCACATTATCACTTTTTTGCAGGGTAGTGTGCTCAGAATACAACAGTCTAGAAGCATAAAACATATAAAGAGTACACAACAAACCTCCAAACTGCCAATATCCAAAACCCCTTCTTTAAAGTGCAGGCATTGTACTTCCCATTTCCAGGACTCAAGTCCGACATATGAAAATAACCGGTTTCCCTGAATCCCTTCACTAAATATTACCCTGCTCACACTCCAAAAGATCGTCAGGCAAACCACCTCAACAACCCCTCTTCCTGCCCTCTCTTCCTAATCTTTTCACTTTTCTTCCTCTCTTTCTTACCACCTCTCTCCCTACATTCTCCACCCCCTCCTCCCGCCATTTCCCCTGCCATCACATCCCTTCCTCATCCCACCACACTCCCTCCCCCTCTACCATGTCACTCCTCCGCCTCCTCCACACCGCCTCTCCTCCCCTCCTCCTCTCTACCCCCTCGCCTCACCCCTAAAAGTGTTGGTCCCCACTACTTTCCATACCATTCCCTTCTTTCCCTCCCATAGCTACACGTCTTTTGACTCCACATATACCTCAACGCACACTCACCTTTTTCCCTCATCAATTCTATGATTAACCTCATCCTCATAAATCCATCCCCGACACGTCAACTCCCAAGTATCTGAAAACATTCACTTCTTCCATACTCCTCCTCCCCAATTTGATATCCAATTTTTCTTTATCTAAATCATTTGACACCCTCATCACCTTACTCTTTTCTATGTTCACTTTCAACTTTCTACCTTTACAGATACATTCCCAAACTCATCCACTAACCTTTGCAATTTTTCTTTAGAATCTCCCATAAGCACAGTATCATCAGCAAAAAGTAACTGTGTCAATTTTTAATACACAGTTAATTATTTTTTATATTTTTCAGGCTATATTGACAAATGGTGAGAATATATTAAAGAAAGGTTACCTCCTGAAGGGTCCAGAAAGTGGAAATGAGAAGATATTTGGCAATTTCTCTTCCAAGACCTTTAAGAGAAGATTTGCATGTCTAAGGTTAGTTACTGTAGTAAATTTAAATATAGTACCTTTTTTTTTGTTCAGGGTAGTAGGTTGGTAGACAGCAACTGCCCAGGGAGGTACTACCGTCCTGCCAAGTGAGTGGAAAACGGAAACCTGTAATTGTTTTACAGGATGGTAGGATTGCTGGTGTCTTTTTTCTGTCTCATAAACTTTCAAGATTTCAGGTACGTCTTGCTACTTCTACTTACACTTAGGTCACACTACACATACATGTACAAGTATATATATACACACACCTCTGGGTTTTCTTCTATTTTCTTTCTAGTTCTTATTCTTGTTTATTTCCTCTTATCACCATGGGGAAGTGGAACAGAATTCTTCCTCCGTAAGCCATGCGTGTTGTAAAGGCGACTAAAATGCCGGGAGCAAGGAGCTAGTAACCCCTTCTCTTGTATAGATTACTAAATTTAAAAAGAGAAACTTTTGTTTTTCTTTTTGGGCCACCCTGCCTCGGTGGGATACGACCAATTTGTTAAAAAAAAAAAAAAAAAATTGTACTATATTGGCCATCTCCAACTAAAGAGATTGCCAGTCACCATCATACATTTAATAGTTGTCTTGCCACAAACATCACATTTCAAATGACCCCTCCGAACTTTAATATCCCAGAGCTCCTGCAGATTGTAGGCACTATTCTTCCTGCTTCCAGAACTCAAGTCCAGCTTTCCAGTTTCCCTGAATCCCTTCATTAATGTTAACTAGCTCTGCAATAGCACATCAGATCCCTAAAACTGTGGGTTCTTGTTCATCTCAACCTAACATGCTCACACACTGAAAACCTCCATTTCACCATCCCTCCAACCCGTCTTCCTCTCGAGGATTTACTCGCCTTTTGGTCATCCTGTGCCGCTTCTTCCTCTCTAAATACTCGCACCACCTCAGTGGCCGCTCCTCCACGCTCTGAATAATGCTTTTCTTCATTGTACACTTTCTAATTTTTGTGCTTCAAATTCTGTGCATAATATTCACACTATATATTTTCTTTCTTTTTGGGTCACCCTGCCTCTGTGGGAAATGGCCAACGTGTTGAAAAAAAATAAATTTCTGAAACGTGATGTCTTCATTGCCTCCAGCCTCTTCTTCATTGAACTGTTTAAAGCCCATATCTCTCACTCATATAATAGGGTTAGTACCACTATACTCTGATACATTCCTCATTTTGCCTACATAGATAAACATCTCTCCATGGGGAAGTGGAACAGAATTCTTCCTCCATAATCCATGCATGTCGTAAGAGGCGACTTAAATACCGGGAGCAAAGGGCTAGTAACCCCTTCTCCTGTATATACAGTGGACCCCCGCTTAACGATCACCTCCAAATGCGACCAATTATGTAAGTGTATTTATGTAAGTGCGTTTGTACGTGTATGTTTGGGGGTCTGAAATGGACTAATCTACTTCACAATATTCCTTATGGGAAAAAATTCGGTCAGTACTGGCACCTGAACATACTACTGGAATGAAAAAAGTTCGTTAACCGGGGGTCCACTGTATATTACTAAATTTAAAAGGAGAAACTTTCGTTTTTCCTTTTGGGCCACCCCACCTTAGTGGGATACGGCTGATACGTTGAAAGAAGAAGAAGATAAACATCTTGCCTAGGAAATGGGTGGTAACCAAATTTGATCCAAAAAAGTGGAGAGTAACTTCAGTTCATAATAGGAAATGTAAAGTATAAATTTTTATTGCAGGCAAGAAGTTGATGGCACTTACCTCCTTGAATTTCATAAAGATGAAAGAAAACATGACCCTAAAGGGACTATTGTGATGGACTTCTGTACACAAATATCCAAAGTGAGTATGAATATCTCACAGATCTGTATGCAGTGTGCATGGTTATAAGTCTGTTATTATTACCTCTATTGCAGTATACGTGTATAGTAATGGAGAGTACGGTTTGTAAAGCTCTTAGGTTCCCAACCCAGTGAGATACGTGAAAATTGCTGACGGGTGGAAAAGTGTTTTTTTTTATTATTGAATGCATCTAAAATGCCTGGTAACATATTTATATTATTTTGTTTGATCAGGTAGTCACACAGGCTGTCTGGCCACTGGCCAGTATGAAGGAATAAGACTTTTGTACCCCTTTTAAGAGTCATAAGTTTAGTGTTTGTGGGTGACCAGAATCAACTGGTCTGTCTGCTGTAGTTTATTCTTCATGTATCTTAACTAACAGTACATATATTATCAAAGACTCACATCTGTATTTATTATGTGGTTGTGCTGGTTTATTCGTCAGGGTGAATTTCCTGACACGGGTCTTTGTCTTGTGATAACCCTTTCAGTGAGGTTCGCACTGTGACGATGGAGGTCCAAAATGGAGTTGTTGGTCCTATGGTCGGCTATAACAGCAGCAGCTGCTGGCTTATTGATGTTGCAGTTGTTATTGTTTTAAGTGGTCACATACTATGTTCGTCAATTTAAACTTCATACCCATAATTTAAAATGATATACTTTATTATTTTTTTTATTTAAGAAATAAACATTTTGCTGTATGATTGATTTCTTCTTGTAACAACTTAATCTGCTAATTATTTGGTATGCATCTTCTACCATGGCAATATTGTTTGAGTGTCCTTTAACCCTTTGACTGTTTCGGCTCTATATATACTTCTTACGAGCCAATGTTTCTAACGTATTAATATACATAAATTCTAGCAGCTTCAAATCAAGCGGGAGAAAGCTGGTAGGCCTACATGTGAGAGAATGGATCTCCATGGTCAGTGTACATAGTATAAAAAAAATCGGGGAGCCAGTGGTGCATTGTGGGAATGCCACTTCAGTAGTCCTTGTTCGGCATGCAAAGTGGTAAGAAATATCTGACTCCCCAGCGAATCTGGGCCTCTTCTCTTCCCAAGTAATAGATCGAACACAGATGGAAGTGTCAGTGAAGATGAATTTCATGGTTTTGAGGAGTTTGTGACCGAAAGCAATGCCCAGGATACCAGAAGAAAGAAAGAAAAAGAAAGAAAGAAAGGTAGGTAGGTAGGAAAGAAGGAATGATGACACACAACCATTTACCTGGGATAACTACCTAACACAACTGCCTGCTACTATGTACTTTGAAGAAAACTGCTCAAATGAGGTGTTTTGTCCGCACATACAAAAAAAAAAACGCCCACAAAAACGCAGAGACACTCGTTTCATGTAAGAGGAGTGTAAAACACCATTGTGTATGAAACCATGTTTCAAAGAGTTCCACAAGCTGCAGCACTTCTAGGAACATGTCCAGCGACTGGACATTTGTATATACATTGCACCTTACTTTGGTCTCACAGGCCATATAAGTTACCTGAAAAAAAAGTGGAAAAAACAAGAAACCTTTGAATGGGAGTAAAAAAAAGTTTACTGAGTGAGCGGCATTCACCGTTGTTGCCATACGCGGCTCATTTTTTGCCAACTTTATGCCTCTATATTTCGTTAAGTACTGATTGCAAAAATTTTTTTTAGGCCTAAAACACTTAGCAAATTAATCGTAACATTTTGGTAAGAAAAAATAATTTTTTTATTTTTCGAATATTTTTCGACATAGGAGGACAGTTTCAGAAATGAGCTTGCGACAGTCGAAGGATTAAACTAGTCATTTTCCATTGCAACCTACAGATGTATCATGCTTATAGCTGGTAAAAATAAAATTGAGACATACATGTCATATGTTTTGAGAATTCTTTTGAAGTCAGGCTTCATTGTTGACTTCTTGGTTAATCAAGCTGTTGCTGCAAGTGGCCTGCAGGCCTACATATCCATCACGACCTGGTTACTCCTGCAGGAAGTGGCCAAATTTCTTCTTGAAATCGTCTGTCTTTATTAATGTTGCAGTTTAAAAACTGTAGTGTAAAGCACCCTTCTGGCAAGACAGTAATGGAGTGAATGATGGTGAAAGTTTTTCTCTTTCGGGCCACCCTGCCTTGGTGGGAATCGGCCAGTGTGTTAATAAAAAAAAATAAAATATTGTAAGTAGACTAAGATATTTTACAGTTGGATAAGAAATTTATAATTATTTAAAATAATATTTTTACAGTTGGATAAGAAATTTATAATTATTTAAAATAAATTTTTTGCATTTTCAGAATCCACGGCGTGGGAAGTGCTGCTTTGAGTTGCATATATCCGAATGTGGAAAGTCTGTCATGTTATCTGCAGAGAGTGAGGCTGACTTAGAGGACTGGATGGACAAACTCACTCGAGTTATTCATGCTGACAAACCTCTGGATGAGTCCAGAACAGAAAGAGGTGTGATTATGATTAGGCAATTTAAAGGAAAAATATATTGGCTTGATACTGCTTGTTTTATAAGCCATATTTATGCTAGAAGTATAAAAGTTCAGTACTTTTGTATGTTATATTTATTGCATTCTTGTTTGTCTCATTTTGGGGTTACTGTTTCTGAGTACTTCAACACTGTAATTAGGCCATTTGAGAAAAATGCATACCAACCATTTAAAATTTCCAGTACTCTGTTTACACTTGTTTACCTTGTAAATCAGGAATAATTAGTAACATATGTACAGGCTCAGCTTATCAACAGTGCACTATCTTGATACAATCAGGAACCAGTTTTTCTTCCTTACTGTCTCTTGTCTCATGCAGTATTTACCTTGATCTTAAGAGTGAGCCTGGTTTCAATTATCAGCTGTATTATCTCATAATTTGATGATTTTGTGTTTGTATGCCTTCATTTACGATTGAAACTTGAAAGACCCCAGCGCTATTTTTTTTTCATCAAACCGACCATATCCCACTGAGGCATTGACCTGAAAAGAATAACGAAAGTTTCTCTTTTTAAATTTAGTAATGTATACAGGAAAAGGGGTTACTAACCCCTCGCTCCTGGCATTTTAGTCGCCTCTTACAACACACACGGCTTACAGTGGAAGAATTTTGTTCCACTTCCCATGGAGATAAAAGGAAATAAACAAAAAACAAGAACTAGTAAGAAAATAGAAGAAGCCCAGAGGGGTGTGTACATGTATGTGTAGTGTGACTTAAGTATAGGGAGAAGAAGCAAGATGTACCTGAAATCTTGCGTGTTGATGAGACTGAAAAAAGACACCAGCACTCCTTTCTTTCTTTCACTGAAGCAGGGTGACCTAAAAGGAAAAATGAAAGTTTCTCTTTCTAAATTTAGTAATGTATATAGAAGGGGTTACGAGTCCCTTGCTCCTGGCATTTTAATCGCCTCTTATGACATGCATGGCTTATGTAGGAAGAATTCTGTTCCACTTCTCCATGGAGATAAAAGGAAATAAACAAGAACAAGAACTAATAAGAAAAGACAAGAAATCTCAGAGGAGTGTGTGTGTATATATATGCTTGTACATGTGTGTGTAGTGTGATCTAAGTGTAAGTAGAAGTAGCAAGATGTACCAGAAATCTTGCATGTTTATGAGACAGAAAAAAGACACCAGCAGTCCTACTATCATGTAAAACAATTACAGGCTTCCATTGTACATTCACTTGGCAGGATGGTAATAACTCTCTGGGTGGTTGCTGTCTACCAACCTACTACCCAGCAACACTAATTATAAATATTTAAATTTTGAGCTTATTAGAAATGGACCTGGCCCAGTAGCTGGGTCCATACACTTGGTGTCTCCATAGTGTGAGTTCAAGGGTTCCAATCTATAGCCTTACATATGCTTTTTTTTTTTTAAAGTTTACTGCATATACCAGGTAAAGTATATGGTAGAGTTATTATTGAAAGAATTAGAGGTAAGTTAGAGAGCATGATTGCAGATGAGGAGGCAGGCTTTAGAATGGGTAGGTGATGTGTAGATCAGGTGTTTACATTGAAGCATATATTTTTTTTTTTTCAACAAACCGGCCGTATCCCACCAAGGCAGGGTGGCCCAAAAAGAAAAATGAAAGTTTCTCTTTTTAAATTTAGTAATTTATACAGGAGAAGGGGTTACTAGGCCCTTGCTCCCGGCATTTTAGTCGCCTCTTACAACACGCATGGATTACGGAGGAAGAATTCTGTTCCACTTCCCCATGGAGATGAAGCATATATGTGAGCAGTATTTAGATAAGGGTAGGGAAGCTTTCATTGCATTTATAGATTTAGAAAAGGTATATGATAGAGTGGATAAGGGAGCAATGTGGCATATGTTGCAAGTGTATGGAATAGGTAGTAAGTTACTAAATGCTGTAAGGAGTTTTCATTAGGAAGTGAGGCTCAGGTTAGGGTGTGTAGGAGAGAGGGAGATTACTTCTCAGTAAAAGTAGGTCTTAGACAGGGATGTGTACTGTCACCATGGTTGTTTAACTTATTTATAGATAAGGTTGTAAAGGAAGTAAATGCTAGGGTGTTGGGGAGAAGGGTGGGATTAAATTATGGGGAATCAAATACAAAATGGGAGTTAACACAGTTACTTTTTGCTGATGATACTGTACTTTTGGGGGATTCTAAAGAAAAGTTGCAAAGGTTAGTGGACGAATTTGGGAGGGAGTGTAAAGGTAGAAAGTTGAAAGTGAACATGGATAAGAGTATAATAATGAGGGTATCAGACAATTTAGATAAAGAAAAATTGGATATCAGATTGGAGGGAGGGAGTATGGAAGAAGTGAATGTTTTCAGATATTTGGGAGTTGCCATGTCAGCGGATGGGTTTTTGAAGGATGAGATTAGCCATAGAATTGATGAAGGAAAAATGGTGAGTGTTGCATTGAGGTATCTGTGGAGACAAAGAGAGTTATCCGTAGAGGCAAAGAAGGGAATGTACGAGAGTATAATGGTACCAATACTCTTATATGGGTGTGAAGCATAGGTTTTAAATGCTGCAGTAAGGAGGCGGCTGGAGACAGTGGAGATGTTGTGTCTAAGGGCAGTGTGTGGTGTAAATATTATGCAGAGAATTCGTAGTGTGGAAATTGGAAGGAAGTGTGGAGTTACTAAAAGTATTATTCAGAGGGCTGAAGAGGGGCTGTTGAGGTGGTTTGGTCATTCAGAGTGAATGGAACAAAGTAGAATGACTTGGAGAGTGTATAAATCTGTTGGGGAAGGAAGGCAGGGTAGGGGTTGTCCCTGAACAGGTTGGAGGGAGGGGGTAAAGGAGGTTTTGTGGGCGAGGGGCTTGGACCTCCAGCAAACATGTGTGAGCTTGTTAGATAGGAGTGAATGGAGATGAATGGATTTTGGGGCCTGGTGAGCTGTTGGAGTGTAAGCTGGGTAATATTTTGTGAAGGGATTCAGGGAAACCTGTTAGCCGGATTTGAGTCCTGGAAATGGGAAGTACGTATAGTGCCTGCACTTTAAAGGAGGGGTTTGGGATATTGGCAATTTGGAGGGATGTCTGAACTGTTGTTTCTGAGTACCTCTGCAAAGACAGTAATTATGTGTGAGTGATGGTGAAAGTATTGAATGATGAAAGTTTTTTCTTTCTTTTTGTGTTTTTCTTTTTGGGTCACCCTGCCTCGTGGGAAACCGCTGATGTGTTAAAAAAAAATCTTATTCAGAGTACTGATAAATCATAGATTTGAATTGTTTTCTAAATAGTAGTGTGAAATGTCTATATAAAAGTTTGCCAAATATTCATCTTGTAAATGAGTGAATAAATAATAATCTCTATTTTAGTAAGTTTTGCTTTCAAAGGGCGGGGGAGGAAAGTCTCCATAATAAATAAATTCCCTTTGTTGCAGGTTCAACACCGCCTTCAAGTAATTATGGAACATTACGAGGCTTGGAACATAGCCTTAATCCACAGCTGATTAAATATGCCCATGAGACAGATTTTTCTATTGCACAAGCAAGGAGAGAAGACAGACACCAGCTGTTTACCTGTTATCCAAATCTTCCGGTTGGTTGTTCTACCATTTAATAAGAAATACAGTGCCTGCACTCTGAAGGAGGGGTTTGGGATATTTGCTGTTTAGAGGAACATCTGAACTGTTGTATCTGTGCACCTCTGGAAAATCAGTAATAGTGTGAATGATGGTGAAAATGTTTCTTTTTTGGGTCACCCTACTTCATCTGATTATTGCCTTTACCCCAGTTTCTAGTATCATCTTACATTAATATCATTTATGATTTACTGTTCATTAAGATTGTTATTGTATTACATGAATGGTAATTTTGTCCCTCCAAAAGCAACATGGTAAATATGTCTGTAGATATCCATTTAATTACTGGTAATTTTAATGTTTTTTGTTTTAAAAAATAGGTTGACAGGGTAACATAAAGGCCAAGGTTTATGTACATGGTCTCTTGGTCATATCTTTGTTTTGCAATTTTTACAATAAGCTAGTCTTTCTTATTTTAGAAGTTGTTAGTCAAATCTACAACTACAAAATTTTTCTGCTTATTTCATGATGACAAAAAAAAAATCTTTTTTTTTTTTGGTAATGAATCTTGACAATTATGACAGCAAGAAATATGTTAAATTATACATTAATTAATTAGTTTCACTTAGTTGTGTTTCTTTAACTCTCTAACTTATGCATAATATTTAAAGTTAATTAGGTGAAAATGATCTATTTGCTTTTCTGTTAACAGCGCTCTGAGGGTGAGAATGGCAGTGTAGAACTCAGGGATGAGAGCCTTATATGGCCCTACGAGGAAAAATTTGGAACTCGTTTTCGAGTTCTTTTTGAGAGTATTAAGTTTAGACTTCAGGCTCCACTGGATTCAGGAGATGGTCCATTGTCACAGGTGAGTGGCATTACAATGTTTGGAATACTTTTAACACACTGACCATTTGAAATAATTGACCAGGCTAAATATTAGATAAATAGCGTAAAATATGGATCTTGATTCCCATTCACCATGGATATGCAGTGACCACATTATTTATAGGGATTCAGTGTGAGTGACAATGTTTAAACTGTTTAGAAAAGCCCAAATAATTTAATCTAGGTGAATGAAAAGATGAATATTTTAGTGTTGGTAATCAAGGAAACATTTTGTAACTTAGAATTACCTTCATTTTGCAGAACCACTAAACCCCATAGGGTCATATTGCTCAGTTAAAATATATCATAAGAAATAATAGAGAATGCTGTCAGATATGTAATAATTTTTTTCTATAATTACACATGTCTTTAAATGCCTTTATTTTTTAATAAATTATTTTTATTGCTTATTCACAGCTGGAACCATACATGACATATGCCTCTCTGTATGACGTGACACAAGGCTGCAAGATCTCGGAAGATTTTCATTTCGATCTTAATAACCCTATGATACGCAGCTTGCTATCAAAGGCAAAGAAAAAATCTGATGACCCGAAAGATAGCTCAGGAACATCATTACCACTATCACTTGCTGGAGTGCCCGAGGAATGGATTGCGCACCCTAAACAGGTAAGAATTCAATAATTAGTATATTACACTACTTATACTACTCATCCCGTTTTCTCAGTCAAACAAATAATGACGTACTAAAGCTGCATAAGTAATAAACGTGATTTCTTATAATAGGATTGATTTTCTTGACTGAAACAATTATATAGTGAATAAAAAAAAAAAAAAACAGGTAATTGCATATGCAGTAGTTTATTATGTATGCACATTTGAATTCTCAATACAGTAAACTATTTTCCTTGTACAGGCTGTTATGAGTGTGACAAGGCCTCATAGTGATGTCTTTCTTGTAATACGTATCGAGAAGGTTCTTCAAGGGTCCATCAGTCAGACTGTGGAGCCATATCTCAAGAGTATGGACTTAAAAAGTATCCAGAAGCTTCAAAAAATGATCAAAACTTGTTGTTGGAGGTATGAGATATTAAAGATGTTATTATTGACATTTATAAACTGTATAAAACTTATTCTTGTTTGGTTTTGAAAACGCTGTTGGTTACATCTTAAAACATTTCAAAACTGCCTTATACTACTTTCATTTGTTTTAAAGCTTTCCTGATTGTTCATTTTTCTTTCACTTTTATAGCTACAACTATAGATAGCTCTAGTTTTTATAAGCATTTTATAGCTCCACATAAGTTATACAGGATTTGGCAGGACATGGGTGTTTGGCCCTCCTCCTCCAACAGGAATCACCACTTTGAGACAAATCTCTGTTGATTGAGGATTGGATACACCTCTTACCCATATCCACCTGTTTGCAGATGCTCCTGTTCCCCTCTGTAGCATGTGATATGCCACTGACTATGGCACGCATTTTAATAGTTTGCTCATGGTTTAGGCCTTTCTGCCTTTGTCAGGGTTTTTATAATTACAGAGGAGCCTGTAAAGCCTTGAGGAACTTTTAGGAGTCTTTTGACAATAATTTAATGTTTTTTTTTTTTTTAATTGATGCTGGTTATTTGAATCTGGTATGATAGTATTTATTTATGTTGAGTTTTTTAATGGTTATTTTCACTGAGTGAACTACATGATCAGAGTGTTCTATAAATGTCTCAACAATGACTACTATTATTATTTTATAATTCCACTAGGGCTATGTTTTACTTCTTCTAAATATAATTTTTTTACTACCTTCATAGCATATGAGATATACACAAATGCTACATTTCTTACAGACCTTCACATGTCCTATATTCTGTAGAGCCTCTCACTTTTGTTATTATAACTTCCGTTCACTTTTAATCCACAGTTTGGAGGGGAATTTTTAGAAAATGTTTTAGTCCTGGATCATTATTAAGTCATGAGTTATGAATTGATGATGCTCCAGGATGGACTGAAATATTGTCATGTGCTTGCTCTTCAAATTGTGAACTGTTCCAGCCACAATATTGACTTATATTCATCTTTTATACCTTGTTTGATATGTGTATGCTCAGTAATGTAATTTCTAATTTGTAGTTCTTAACCCATGTACAGCCATGAGGAAGCAAGTGCAGGTAGATATAATAGAATAATGTGGAAATTATTAACTGACTACAATATGTACCATCAGGTGTTATCTTCAACATATATTGGCTTATTTTCATATCTAGCCAGAGTCTTTATGATTTTTTTTTTTTTTAATCATCAGCCATCCACTGAGGTAAGGTGATCATTATTCATTCAACAGCTGTCTTTCCAGAAATAATCAGGGATCCCCACTCCTTCAAAGTGAAGGCACTGTTTTTACACCTCCAGGACTCAAGTCTGGCTAACCAGTTTTCTGAATCCCATCATAAATGTTACCTTGCTTGTACTCCAACAGCATGTCCAACCATTAAACCACATAGTCCTGTCTAATACTTTCACACATGTTTGATGGAGACTTAAGCCTTTATTGGTTTGAATCACCTATCCCTCCTCCCTCCAGCCCACCTTTTCTATCCTTTTGAATTACACTTTCAGTAACACATTCCATCTTCTGATTTCTGTGCTCCTAATTCTCTGTATAACATTTACACCAATAATTACTATCAAGCATCACAGCACTGCCTCCAGCCTTCTCCTTGCAGTAGTTAGCTATTCAGTTGTATGAATTTTTTATATTAAAATTGACAGATTAACATAATAAAAATGCTATACACTGCCTCATTATTTGCTATTTATGCAATGAAATAATACACAATGAAATAATTTTTTTACAGGCTTGGTGAATTCAGAATGCCCTTTGGTTGGTGTGCTCGTCCACTGTTTAAGAGCTCTGGGAATCTTGATACAGATTCAGATTTTTCTCCAATTTATCGTTGTGAAGAAAAACGTCTTGGCGAGCTGGAGTTCATAAAGATGCTTGCTGATTTTCGGAAGCCAGAAAAGATGAACAAATTAACACTCATTCCAGGGAATGTCAGCGTCCAGATCTTGCCCATGGAAGTCACATTACCCAGTAAGTTTGTTATCCTGCTACATTGTGGGAAATGCCTCTGCATTGTGAGTTTTCTCTGTGCATATGTAAAGACATTTTGATATTTGGTTCACTTTCAGCTTGTGATTGGGAATTTAATTTCAATAGTAGATTCTCCACTTTGGACGTTAATGTGTTCTTTAGTTCTTGTTCTTAAGCCAAGTGTTTGGAATTTGAAACCTTTTGTCCCATTGATGCCTGTGTTATAATTGGAGCTACTTTCCCAAACAATAATATTCCTTATTTATTTTAATTTATTTTTTAGCTGAGAATGTATTTCCAATATTTTACATTCAGTACTGTTCCTTTTCACTTACATATAATATTAAACATTGTTTAATTAGTGTATGTATACATTAATTAAATTGTGCAACTCTATGATATAAAATTCAATACAGTACAGATTTGTAGGGGTGGCTAGTAGCTGGACTGTCCTCTTTTTTCATTCTGTTTTTCCTATTAATTCCCATTTTCTTACATTTTATCAACTCAGATCTCTCTATATTTGCTCACTGCTGTCGTTAAGTATGTGGTGGAGGAATCATATGACAGATGTGGTGTGTGGGGGCAGGCAGCAGTTAAACTGTCTTCCTCTCTCATTCTCTCTCCATTTCACTCCAACACTCTCTCACATCATATCTTAACTCAAGACTCTTTACATATGTTCACCATTCCTTCATTGTTATGGGTAGGGTATGTGTGCCTGGGTATATAATGTGGAAAGGTAATGGTGAGAGTGTGTGAAGAAGGGTATGATGTGAATGTGCTGAGCTCACTTTGTCCCATACCCCATTCATTGACATGTCCAGTATGCAGGCAGCAGCAGTGGTGGCTACCACAGCCTAGCTGAATATTGTAATTTTTAAGCTACAGTTATTAACCAGTCTCTAACAAAAAAAAAAATGAACACACTACACATGCATAAAAATAACATGCAAAACAATATCAATGCATTTTGTAAAAAATATAACCAAAAAATATCATATTTACATTTCACCTTTAGGAAGATTGTAACTATTTAATCTATAGTTCTTTAACTATCTCTGTTAAGCAGATGAGCTCAGTGCATAAAATGAATGTATACTACAAAGTATGAATTCATTTGGTAAAAAAAATAGAAAAAATAATCATCACTAACCCACGATATAATGAACTAATAGGGGTATCCATTATATCGAAATGATGTTAAAAACAGTAAAAAGTTCACTAAAGAACTATACCGTATACCTAATGTAGTACTGTACACAATTTGCATATATACTGCAATAAAATTTGAAAATAAAGGAGTGAAAAGTACAGTTTTAAAAGTTCGTTACTATCAAGGCCACTGTATTATATTGAGATGTTGGAGTGTGAGCAGGGTAATATTTTGTGAAGGGAGTCAGGAAAACCGGTTAGCCGGACTTGAGTCCTGGAAATGGGAAGTACAGTGCCTGCACTTTATAGGAGGGGTTTGGGATATTGGCAGTTTGGAGGGACTTCTGAACTGTAGTATCTAAGCACCTCTGCAAAGACATAGTATGAGTATTGAATGATGATGAAAGTATTTTCTTTTTGGGGATTTTCTTTCTTTTTGGGTCACCTTGCCTCGTTGGGAGATGACTGACATTTTTTTTTTTTAACAAGTCGGCCGTCTCCCACCGAGGCAGAGTGACCCAAAAAGAAAGAAAATCTCCAAAAAGACAATACTTTCATCATCATTCAACACTTTCACCTCACTCACACATAATCACTGTTTTTGCAGAGGTGCTCAGAACACAACAGTTTAGAAGCATATACGTATAAAGATACACAACATATCCCTCCAAACTGCCAATATCCCAAACCCCTCCTTTAAAGTGCAGGCATTGTACTTCCCATTTCCAGGACTCAAGTCCAGCTATATAAAAATAACTGGTTTCCCTGAATCCCTTCACTAAATATTACCCTGCTCACACTCCAACAGCTCGTCAGGTCCCAAATACCATTCGTCTCCATTCACTCCTATCTAGCATGCTCACGCACACTTGCTGGAAGTCCAAACCCCTTGTCCACAAAACCTCCTTTACCCCCTCCCTCCAACTGACATGTTGAAAAAATAATAATAATAATAATAATTGCTTTGGGGCACTTTAAATGTTGTATATTATGGTAGCCTAGAACCTAACCCGCCATATAAGTAGGGCTCTCCTGTAACTAATTCGTTCTGAAGTGCCAATATCATATGTACAGAACATCGTAATTTGAGAAACCTGCTGCACTAAATAATAAATTAAGGGCTTTTTCCACATCAGTCTGATGCTTAGAAATAATTTACCAATTATTTTGTAAACAAGTGAAACAATTACTTTGTAGAAAAGTTTCAACAAAATTACGTTAAAATCACGTTAAAAAATTTGAGGGTGTGTAAAGTGAAATTGAAGTGAACATAGTAAGGGGAAAGGGATGAGGTTCAAAGATTTAGATAAAGAAAAATTGAAATATCACATTGGAGAAAAGGAGTAGGAAGAAGTAAATGTTTTAGATACAGGTCCCCGCTTTTCGTAGTTCCCGCAACGTAAAATTCGCCAATCAAGAGGATTTTCGTATAAACATGGACTCCTTTTCATAGGTGATCGCGAAGGTGTTCGTCCCGGACCGACCAAGCGTGAGCCAGGGCCGCAGCCAGTCTGCATTGTTTACCAGTGAGCGAAGCCCTCACGTGCTCCAGGGAAATATTTCAAATATTCCATTTATTTTAGTGCTGCAAGTACAAAATAAACCATGGGTCCAAGGAAAGCTCCTGGGCCCAAAAGCCGTGAAAGAAGGAAGAAATATGATGAATTAAAAAAAACCAAATCATTGAACAATAGAAAGTGGTACAAGTGTGGCCGAACTGTCCAGGATTATAAGAAACCCTACACAACTTAATGTTCCTAGTGCCAAGAAAAATGAAATAAGGATGCTGTTTGAAAGGGATAACTGCGACAAAATGAGATCACCAGTACTGGAAGAGGTTGAAAGTTATTATGGTGTGGATAATGAAAACAATTACGGGAGATACTCTTATGACCTTCGTTTATTTGTGAAAAGGCTAGGCGTTGCAGAAGATTTGGTAAAAGAATTGTGCAAATAGGGGTGAAGTGAGTAAATTTAAGCCACCCAAAGGCGGTTTGAGAGTTTTAAAGAACCTATGGATACACAGTGTGGTAAGGCTTTGTGGGCCCTGCCATTCGACCACAAAGCGGCTGAAAAATATGTGCAAAATTTCAAGGAGTACATAGGGCTAAAAGGGACTAAAACCTGAACAAGTGTTCAATTGTGATGAAACAGGCCTTTTGGAAGAAAATGCCAAAGAGCCTCATACACAAAGGAAAAGGCAATGCCAGGACAAAGCTATGAAGACATCTGACCTAATTTTCGGCTAATGCATGGGGATTTCAAAGTGAAGCATATAAGTACATCTGAAAATCCACAGAGTGTTCAGGAAAAAAACAATGTTATGAAAAAGTAAATGTGTGTGTTTTGAAATCTAATAGTAAGTAAGGTCACGAGGAAATTTCGTCGAGTATTCAATGAAGTTTTTGGGGCCTAGTGTGAAGGAGTATCTCCTTAAAAAGAAATTGGATCTCAATGCCTGCAAAGAAAGGGGACAATGCACCTGCTCATCCTCCAAACTTGGATTGACCTAATTTTCGGGGAGTTTTGGGTTCACACAGTAAAGTTCTTGCCCCCGAAACCACTCCTCTCCTCCAACCCATGGACCAGCAGGTTATTGCAAACTTTAAAAAAACTACACAGAAGCAATGTTTCACAGGTGCTTTACTGGACCACAGACACTCACTTGACCCTGAGGGAAAATTTTGGGGAGAACACCTTCAGCATCCTCCACTGCTAACCCTTTTAGGTATGGCTTGGGGGGGAGTGACTACCAACTTTGAGCTCTGCCTGGAGAAAATTGTGGCCAGATTGTGTCGACAAGAGGGATTTTGAAGAATTTGGGACTGACCCTAATGAGCCTATGTCTGTTGTAAAATCAATTGTGGCACTGGGGAGTTCCATGGGGTTGGATGTGAGTTTGGAGGATGCGGAAGAATTGCTGGAAGACCACAATGAAGAGCTCACCACTGAGGAGCTGCAGAGCTTCAGCAGGGAAAAGCAACACATCGCAGCTCAGAATCTTGCGCAGAGGAGGAGGAAGAGAGATGGAAGAAGGTGCCTTCTTCAGAAATTAAAGAGATTTTTACTAAATTTTTGGGGGAAAATGGAAAGCTTAAAGGAGAAACATCACCCTAACAAGGTTGTTGCAAGCCAGGTTGGCAACATGACAGTGACAAAGTCTTGGCCATTTTAGGGAAATGTTAAAGAGACGCCAGAAACAGAGCTCTCTCCACAGTTATTTTGTGAGACAGGACTCCAGTAACTCTCAAGGCAGTCCTAGTGGCATTAAGAAACAGAGAAGAGAAGCAACCCCAGAAAAGCAAATGGTACCTGAGGTGTTGATGGAAGGGGATTCCCCTTCCAAACTATAACAATCCACTCTCCCCTCCTCCCCCAGTCTCCCATACACTAAGAAGAATCTCCAATAAAGGTAAGTGTTATGCTGTTAATGTTTCATTCATCATTTCCCATTGTATTGTTTATGTACTACATGCATATTTCATGTTAAAAATTTTTTTGTTTTAATACTTTTGGGTGCCAGGAACGGAATAATTGTATTTACATTATTTCTTATGGGGAAAATTGATTCGTAAATCGTAAATTTCGTTTATAGTAACGGCTCAAGGAACGGATTAATTACAAACAACGAGGGACCACTGTATTTGGGAGTTGATATGTCAGCGGATGGTGGGTTTATGAAGGATGAGATTAATCATAGAATTGATAAAGGAAACAAGGTGAGTGGTGCATTGAGGCATTTGTGGAGACAAAAAACATTATCCATGGAGGCAAAGAAGGGAATGTATGAAAGTATAGTGGTGCCAACACTCTTATATGGGTGTGAAGCTTGGGTTGCAAATGCT